TAATCTTTGGAATTACAAGGAAAAATCTTTGAATTGAAATAACATGACTTCCGCTTTGAATCGGAAGTTCTTAATCGCTTTGAATCGGAAGTTATAGATAATAGGGGCCTCTTGCTCTCACAGTTTCTATTCGTTGTCCCATCCTTCGTTTATATAACTCCTTCTCGAGTTTAAAAAAAGACGGACGGACGACAATGGAAATTTATAGGTCTACAATTTTTTTCAAATTGCAACCCAATAATAAAGTTAATTTTAACAAATCCTATATATACTAGCAGGTGGGCCCGGCGTTGCTCGGGCAAAAGTAACGATAACTAAGATAAAGATTATTACGTTACAGTTAACCTTACCTGTTTTCACAGAATGCAAGAATTGGGTCCCCTTGTTTCTAGACTAATTAGAGAATTTTTAGATGGTTCTAAAAATATGTTCGATTATCCGCAAAAACGAAAAAAACTGCATCTGCGTCTTGCACGTCGCTTTCTCTTAACAATTCCATTGTTACGTAACACTTCCATTGTTACTTAACACTTCCATTGTTGATGGAAGTGTTAAGCCTTAATCCTGTCTTTCTCCCCCCCGGGAGGAATTTCGAAAAATCCCTTCTTAGTGTGCGTTTTCGTGACGTACCCTATCTGTGTACCAAATTTCAACTTTAAACTCCTAACCGTTTGGGCTCTGCACTTATTATTATCATCATCAACCCGTCTCGGGTTGATGATAATAACGGGGGACCTAATTCTCGCTTTCTGTGAAAACGGGTAAGATTGGCTAAAATGTAATTATCTTAATCTTCACTATCGTTACTTTTTGCCCAGCGAAGCGGGTCCTTGCAGCTAGATTCTAGATTACTTAGAAAAACAGTTTTATATATATATAAAAAACTATATTACGTACAAATAAAAACCCAGCGAAGCGGGTCCTTGCAGCTAGTTTGTTATATAATTTATGTATTATATAATTATCCAATTTGATTTTTTGACGGAAAATAGAATACTTTTTCTGAAAATAAAAAAGTACAAATAAAATAATTTTTATATTATTTCATTTTAATTACAATTTTAATTTTAGTTATGAGAGAAATTTAGTGTGTTTAGAAACTTTTATGTGTAATTCGATACCTTTTAATAGAGTCATATATTGCTTTAATTAAGAAATACTTGATACTTGTCAATTAATATTAGTAAAAATTCCATTAAAAATATTTCAGTTAATTTAATATGAAAGGATACAGTACATAAAAATAATTTTTTACATCATTTAAATAATTTCATTTAAATTAGTATATAAATCATTTTTTTTACTTGAGATTAAAAATATAATTTTACTTAGAGATTTTTAAATTTTAATTAAATAAAGTCAATTACTTAATTTAAAATAGAAAAATTAAATTTAAAGACAAGAAAATCTACTTAAAATGTCCAATAAATTATTTAATTATTGTAATACTAGTTCACAGAATCATGACATTTTAGAAATCACATG